CGAAAAACCATTTTCTTTTTCCAAAGTACAGAACATTTTTTGAACAAACGAGAGTGGATCACGACATTGTGATGTTCTGATGATGAAGGCCTTCGCCGTTCGGATTTTCGAGTGCCTCGCCTCTTTCTTGTGCTGCGATATCACAGTTTTATCGACATCAAATAAATATCATTCTTGCTTGCGCTCGAAAAAAAAAAATCTTTAGTCAGTGAGATCGTATTTTAATATGCTAGCACATTAATAAAATCGGTGCCAATGTTCGTTTGGTGTCATGCAATGTGTCTCTCATGCGAAATATTCGTTTGGCACGAAAAACCATTGTACCGAAAGATGCAAAACGATAAATAATCTTCACCGTTTTTCTCTCCGTCTCCGTCTATTTCTTCTTCGTTTTTTTTTGTTTTGTTTTCATTCAATGTTTTTCTTGGACAAATATTGCAAGTGCACCTGCTAAACGGTATTATTTTGTTCCGTATGTCAGCAGCAAAATAACAACAAAACATCCAAAATAGCACGATTACGACGACAGGGACCGTGACAAACTATTGAAAACACAAATATTATATGGTTTGTTCTGGTTCATGTTCGTGGCCGTGCCGATTTTCAATTAAAGAGCATTTTTACAAAAAAAAATTTCTTTTTTGCAATGTCATCAGAACGGGTTGCGAAACAAATTAACAAGCGCACGAGTTGATTTAAGTCAAGCAAAGTAATCCTATTTTGATACAAACGGATACAAACATAGCAATCAGAAAATAATGATATAGCAACTGTTTACATTGTACATACGTTGTGCAATTTTACACGGTAAAAATCATCCGTGTATTGGATTTTTGAATCAATTCATTGAAAATCAGATCGATGTTGCAAAGTCGCTGCAAATAGAGCCATGTAAATAGCTTGGTCACCGTTCAATCTTTTATTAGTTTTCAAATTTGATTTACTGCAGTTTCTAAATCTACTCTTGACATACGACCAATTCGACTGTGAATCACAGTTTATAACATGTTTCGTATACTTTTTGAATATATTGTTTGTGTATGATTACGTAATTGACTAAAATCCAAATGTCTTTATTTAGGACTCTTCATGACCGTTGCCTAATTGACTTCCATTGAAAGAAAGTGCATTGTACCATTGGTGCAATCGAATAATAAAATTGTATTCAATTGAAATACAATCTTTCCTATATTCCATTTTTGGTTTATAATAGTTATTACACATTGTTTCGTTGTCAAACAAAACTTAACACAATAAGTGATGAAATATCAATCATTTTGCTTTTTTCTCGTTGAATTCATTGTTATTCACCTAATAAAGTTCTTGAGCAGACTGTTTTCTTAATGATTTTGGAAAATTAACATTGCCGATTGTAAATTGTCGATAGGTGTTCTTTATGTTGTTGAAAAAAAAACTCATCAACTAATTTTGCTCAATTATTCCGAAGATGGAATGAAACAATAACAGTTACTGCCAAGGAATGATGATATTCAAGCGAAATTACCGAAGTTTCAATTGAAAAACTACAACACGAAAAATATTCATTGTTGTTCTTATGCACACACATAGACTGTATGCATTGCGAATCGTTTCGTTATTGCCACTAAACAATCTACATGTCTGAACATTGTTTTCTTTATTTCACTCAATATATATTAAACTAGCGCACCACAAGCTGTGACAGTCAATACTTGTGTCGTGTATATATTCGTAATATTGCCTCGCTGCAAATACTGGGATTAACCAAACCCAATGTCTAAGCATATTCGACTGTATTCTATTTTTATCGAAATTCCCTATGAATAGAATTACACAACTGTGGATCATGTACTTGGAAAACACACTCTGCCATTTCGTGAAGTGGCGGAGCCAACAAAAGAAGAATGATATTTAGAAAGAGCGAACGAAGAATCATCAGCAGGGTTCTAATCTCATCTCGAAATTGTCACGCTTATGTTGTCACCGTAGAAATGAACTCAAAAATCTATTGAAATGTCAGCATGCAATATTCTAAAGTCTGTTGTAATTTCATTTTATATTCTTCAGCGTTTATATTTTTTTTTGCTGCATCCATCGGCTGTAGCGCAGTTCTATCTTTGTTCGTTCGATTTCTCACATTTCATATATTTTTATTGGCAAACGTTGAGCAGAGACCGAAGTGGTAGAAAAACTAGCGTTCGTTTTATTTAAGAGTTTATGGCAACCGAGATAAGCAAATATGGCAACATGAAGAGAGAAGGAAAAAAATTGCATGAAGAATGAGAGGAAAATAGCCACAAACCGCTTGAAATCGATACCGACATTTCACGAATGACGGCAAACATGAGAGAGCCGAAAAAAAGTTACTTAAGAGTTGTAACATGAGCGAAAATTCACTGAACTGAAAAATGAAATAAATTCGAAGCGAAAGAGCATTTTCAGTGGTTCGCTCGCGCATACCCATTCGCTTTGATGGTCAATCGATTCGCGATCCAAATCAACTTTTCTACCGATAAACTACGTTGATGCTCGCGAAAAAGAAACACACAAACACATACACACTCATAAAAACCGAAGGAAATAACACACGTGTACGTTTATGGCGGAGGAAAAATGCGAATAAAGTAGCATTAGATTCACATGCATGATATTAGACTTCGATTTTGAACTTGACCGAAAAAGAAGCAGATAAAAGCCGAAAAACTCGTACGGCTTATGATTCAAAACAGCATGGAATGCGTTTTTTGTTGGTTTTATTCAAAATGAAAAACGACAACAAAGTATAATTTCGCACTTAATCTGCTCGAATGTGTCGTTGCCTCATTTTCTTCACATTCATTCCAGTTTAATGTTAGAAAAACGAAATCTGTGTGAGAGAGAGAGAGAGAAAAAAAACCAGATAAACGAATCAAAAGAGCATTCGATTTGCTCCGTAATGATTAACTTCAGCTGCGAAAAGTGAAATGCAACGCATGAAAAGGAACGACCAAAACAAAATTGAAAACATTTCACATCTTCTCAGACTCTCCTCAGAGTCCTTTGATTGTTTTGCATATGAAATGAACTTATTTAACCGATTATCAGATTTTCTCTTTCTCCCCGATACCTTCAGTGTTTGGCTTGTCGCTTTTGGTCATTGTCAATATTTATACTCGCATTTTGTGTCACGAAAACAGAAAAGAAAGAACGAACGAACGAACGAAAGACAGACAGACTGTTGGAAACGAATACAATGGGATCGTGAATGTGTTTGCTATATAATACCAAATTATGCGATAAAAATAACAGTTCGGTCTTATTCAGATTCACCAAAATGGCTTAAATATATTACGAAAGTTTATTGGGAAAAACACAGGAGGCGTGCATAGAGAAAAAAAAGCAGATCAACTTCAGAAAATAATGGCCATTCAGACGAAGCAACACATGGTTGCGTGCGTTCGGTATTATTACATTCTTTAAATATTAAATGAGCAATGGTTGCAATGTGACAATACTGTCAACAAAGTCCTATTGAGACGTTCTTATTATTGTCGCTTCCTTTTAATCCCGTCCGATGCGAACGATTTTCAAGCAAACCGAGACCTGTTTACTATTATTATCATCGTTATTATTATTGTTGCACACCTTCCCATTGATGGCTTACATTCTCATCGTCAACTACAAAATCTATAACAATTTAACTATCCATGATTGGATTTCGAACATTGAAATTGTGTTGAAATATGATTGCATTGTTGTGAACAAAGTGTTTGATATGCATTTTTCAAAATGAAATTTCTTTTCGAAATTCAAATCGTTAAACCAAATGACACATTGAAATAAATCCTCGTTGTTTCGACAGTAATTTCATCGCACGCTGTAACCATGCTGTTATTCATTTCATCGCATTTTTATTTGGGATTGAAGCACCGCCGATTTTATTGGATTTTTACAAGCTGCAAAGTGTCCGTCAGAGCGTAAATAGAAACGAACGCAACACTTAAAGGACTTGATTAAACAGTATGTAGCTGTGAAACTGGCGTTTCTGTTTTTGTCATTTTATCGACAAAATGAATAATAAAAGAAATGAGATGGTAAAAAATGTCAATTGCTACCGGCTTTTTTGTACCATCGGAACGTTTTTTTTTATTATTATTTTGCTTTGCCCAACTCAAAAGTGTACGGTCTCTTTGTCGGCCGAATGTTTTGTTATATTTCGTTTTTATTCACAAAACTCTCTCTCTCTCTCTCAAAATAGAGCAAAATATGCGTGAAATAGAATCAGATGCTGTTTTTGTCATCAGGTTAGGTAAAATGATGAAGATCATTTCAATATACATTCGGATGCTCTCATTTCAAATGTTTACTTATTCAAATTAAGAAGTCTTTCATTTATTGTGCACATCGCTCGTCTTTCGTTTTTTTTTCTTTTCCCATCATTCAGGCCGCTTTCATTCTTCTCTCAAGATTTTTTTTGCCCTTCCCTTTCATTCAAATCGATTGATTCTATCGGTTGCGTCCTTTCAACTCCAGTTACTACTATATATTCTACCGCTCCTTTACATTCCGTTCTTCGTTTATTCATTCCATTTTATTATCTTTACAATTCGTAAAATGAAAAAAAAAAATGTTGTGTGAGTTTCGTGTAACAACCGAGTTCGCTCAAGATAAAACAGGTCGGCATGTTTGTCATTGGCATACAGTTTCAGTCGGCAAGGAAACGACTGATTCTGCCAATATCATTGAAAAATGCACTCGTTTTTTTTTACCTTAACATTTACCAATGTTATATTTATGTTTTATGATATCTATGGTTTTGTGATCGCTTCCTGATGAACGGAAATACAATTTCTACAGCATTGATAGCGTAATTGAAATGGATAGGTGTCGATCACACAAAACGTCTAATCGAATATCATGTTTTGAATACATGGAATACAATCGTGTGTGCTGTTTGAATCGAAAAATCATATTTAGAATTTAGACAAATGTTTTCTGGATCCTTCAGTTTCTAATAAATGTTTTTCCTTATTTCTTCTCAGGTGTTTTTCCTCTACAAACGGAACTCATTCCAGTGGATTATTTTTGAATGAATGAATCGATTTTCGGACATTATTTGACCAAAACAGATCAAATCAAGACTACTGAAACCTCTTTTCAAAATAAAAATAAACAATAATTATCAACAAAAACATCTTGTGTGAATCAAATCTTGGATTTTGAAGCAAAAAGAGGTAAATATTGTTCATGAATAAAAACACAGAATGAAATAGAAAAAAAAGAACATTCTTGATGATATCAAAGTCGAAATTTCTACGATGAATGTGTCAAAAGTGTTGTCTGACAAATACACAAATTCCGCTCATTTTGCTGCATCATTCCGTAACTACTGCTTAAACGAAACATATGTTGAATTGAATGTTGTGAACCTGCTAAAATCCTCTGATTTTTTCTTCAATGTGTTCGGCGAGAATTGATCCAAATGTAATAAATCCAAATGTGCTTTAATATACTCCATACACGCCTTAACAATGGTAGCCTGTATTATTGATTTTATATTGTACACCTGTGTGTATTTTAGCTGCTAAACGGCGTTCAAGCTTAACAACTCCGCTTATGTCGAGTGTGGAGTAGTCAATCAGTTTCGATTTTGAATAGGTATTTTATTGGCATTTCGGTTAATATGAAAATTGATTTTGCCTTTCGCAACAACTCACACACGTCGATTTTATTGAACTTCAAACGATATTCGATCGAAAGGCGTACATTACACACTTACAATGTGATAAAATTCAGAGCCGATTATGGCTGGCATGAAGAATGGATCCATTGCATCAATATTGAAAATCGCTACCGAATCCAATTCAAACGTGTGCAACTAAATTCAGTTGAGATTTTCCCATATTCACGGGCCAATGAATTTCAAACCGTTCGCGATTTTTTTTTTGTTCGTCGGCAAATCTTGAGCATTCAATGCCTAACGTGAGCCAGCCTAATTCCATCAAGGAGCTGAAGAATTTTCTGCTTCAAACACACATCAAATGGATTTTCAGCTTTTCCATCATTTTCAAGGTGCTTTCACATCGGATTTTCGAAGCACTTGACTAAAAGCATTCCAAATAGATTCTTCCGAATTTAATGTAGCTTCGAATTTCATATGGAGATAATATATTTCGATAACAACATGATGTAAGCAAATAGCGACTGTGCCATTGTTGAAAATTGTGCTATGTACGCCGTTACAAAATCGTACAACATTAATTGAATCTGTTTAATTGCAAAAGACAGACTCGTCTCTGTATTCGAAAGTCAAAAGAGTCGTCTTTCGTGTAGGAATAAATCATTTGATGGAACAACAATCTCATGAGTATTCATCGGGATGGTATGGCGAGCATACAAGGTCGTTCTAAATAATAGAACAAAAATAAAATAGCAAGGTCCTGCTGGTCAACCATTTTTTTTTTATTATATTCCGTATTTTCATTTTGTTTACAAATAACAAAACGTTTTTAAAAAAGAAGTACAAAAACATTGAACAAAATGTGCAGGATAATTGTAAAAGTTCCTCTTGGCATGCTGGAATATTCTTTGTTAATTTTTGCCCGATGCTTCATTCGTGATAAGTTTGCGCCAAATTAATTTTTCTGCTAACGCATTTTATGACTCAAAATTGAGTAGAGCTCACTGTTACTCTGGTTTCAGTTCGACATTAATTCAAATAATTGTTAGAATCTTCTCCCCGGCGAATTTCCCAAGCGAACTCGTAAAGAACTTCGTGTACACAGCACAATGAAAAAAAGGCAATGGAACCAAAGTCAATGTAATATATGGCAAGGATATAAGAATATATCCTTTGGAAAAAAGAATTCTGTTTGAAACAAGAAAAAACAGAAACTATTTGCACATTGATAAAAAGTTTTCCATTTGCATATCCGCTTCAGTTTTCATTTTTCTGCGGATAACGTTGAAACTTCGGAAAATAAAACAAAGAAACAACGGGAAAGAATGGGGAAAAATAAAAATCAAAAGAAAAATTCTGTGAAATGAAGAACCGTTATCGCGCGCGCGAATGTAAATTATCTTCTGAAATGTGAATGAAAGAAAAGAAAAAGACGAATGAACAGATAGCCAACCCATACCATCGAATCGGGCGAATGCGGTCCGCTATCGAACAAAAGAGCGAGCGTCTTGATAACAAACAAAGTTATTTATTTTTAATGTTCGAGTGCACGACGTTACATTGTCATATTGAGTTGGAACGGTGCTCAAGCAATTACGAGGCTTGGCATTGCAATCAATTTCAAAAACAGGAAGTTCAGTGGTTTTTATCGGTTTGCAAGTCATAGTGGCAACGGAACTTGACAATTTGTATGCGAGAATGCCGCTGTCGCCGCCACCGGGCGGCGAAAGAGAGAGAGAGAGAGAGAGAGAGAGAGGAAGAAATGTGATAGAAACACGTAACGCGCAAAAACAATATGTTAATCATTTTATTGCTATTTCCAATTTGAAAAGTTTTGCATTTTAATCGTGAATGGTGGTGAGACAGGGACAGCGGCACAAACACACACACACACACACTTTTGTGCCAAACGCCTCAGCTCGACGCTTTAAAGAATTACATTCAAGCCCGTTCGATTCGCCGTGTCGTCCCGCCGTTAATGGTTTGGTTCGACTTTAATTTAGTTGAAATTTATTTGTCTGGAAATTGAATGGCTGCCACTGTTGAATGGAATGGTGGTGCGGATTCCTGGCTTCCAAGCTGTTGACAGACACAAAAACTTCAAGTTGTGCTCACGCTCTTCGTTTTTCATTCGTTTTGCCTACTGCAAATTTGTATGTTTACTTTATTGTCTACCACACTCGTTCGATGCGCGAAGCACTGTAGCAGAAACGATGTAGCAGCCATATCCGTCTAATTTACCTGTAAACAAAACACACGGTCTCAATAATGCGGCGCTTGTGTTTCATTTCCATTTCCATGTGTTAGTCGTGCATTGGCAAATGTGTTGCGATGGAAGTTGAAAGACATCGACTGAATCTAGCTAAAACCAAACAGAACGAGAAAAAAAAATTCGAACAAATTTAACCGGAAAACATGAAATATCGGAAACAGACGCACACGTTCATTTCACTGTTGTTCAAAGACGATAGACGAAAAATTGTAACAACGCGTCAACACAACATTGGAGGAAAAAAAAAGTAAGCGAAGGCAATAACGAGCAACGACACCCAAACAAATGAATCTCTAATGGATTTATTAATGTAGATCCGGTTCAAATTTGCCAAAGCCGGAGCGACGGGCACAAAGAAAAAAAACCGATACACGAAATTGAAAACGATTTTCAGCTGTCAAATTGTTTGTAGAAAAACGCGTTGTTCATGACAGTATTTTTGTATTTCCTACCCGCGTTAGCGCAAACATGTTACAAGTTTGCCAAAAACACAGCAGCATTTCGCAATAGACAGCAATAGAATGCGAATAAAACAACACACACACACATACAATGGATTAATTTCTGGCAAGCATTTCTGCAGGATATTCGATGCTTTCGTTTGTTTTTCTGACATCGTTTGACATGCTCATAAAAATGCACATAAAATACTTATCATCGGTAGACTTTTTTGCTCGTTCATTTTCTGTCTGACATAGCGTACATCATCGTTATGTTACATCGAATGCTGTTTTTCGTGTTTCTTTCGATCCACTCTTCGACGAAGTACCGGAAATTTTATTTTCAGACACGAAAAAAACACCCCCAAACCATCAGTCAGCATCAGGAGGCAATATAGCATCGCGACGTGCTATCATAAATTGCGCTTCAAAGTATTTTCACGAATTAAATGTGATATCGATGCCAAAACACACAAAGAAAATAAAGCAGAAAAGAAGAGAACGAGATAATGCTAACGATGTGGGAGAGGCCCCGAGAGTTGTTCACTGTGTAATACGGCTTTTTATTTAGATTGCGGCAAACGAGAGAACATGCATAATTTTTCAATATTTTTTAATTTTCCATAATGTAATATCACCCTTTCTTGTCTCAGCGCGTTCACTCTATAATCTCTGGATCGGTTTGCCATGCCTTTTTCATTCATGCATAACAATCGCTATCACAGTTTTCCCCGATATCAGAAAAATGATTCTGATACTTCTTACTTCCAAACTCTATCTATACTTAATCATTTCTCTCTGGTGCTCGCTATTGGGAACTGTGTGCGGAAAATTCGGCAAGACGATGCCAGTTTTTGCATAGTTGAACACGCAGAAATTTGGAGCCAGAATCCATAATGCGGCGAATTCAACGATAAAAATCCACTCGAATATCAATAGCAAAGCAAACACTTGGACGGAAAAGTGCAGCAAAATGGAGAAACTGAATAAACATTGGGGGTAGTCTGATCCAAACGAAACAGCACACACACACACGCACACAACAGCAAACAAAAAATGGGAAGAAATGTTATTAGAGATATGAAATGAACTAAAGTTATCAATAAATAAATTGATCCGGAATTCACTTAAGCGTGAATTTGAGCAGATAGGTTCGGGCATGGTAAATATTCGGCATTTGGTTTATTGTGTGTGCGCGTGTGTTTTGCCATTCCGGCTTCACTTTCATCCGAACCCATTACTGGCTCCGGCCTTGAATATATATGATTGCAAAATTCGCATGTTTTTCCCCATGTTTCCATTTCTCAAATAAAACATAGACATTGACATGGCTTAGTATTTAATAAGCCAAAAAATGTTCCTGTGAGCCAAATTGTGCATCCGCCCGAATGGGGTTACATGGTTTACGTTTGTGAACCATGTGAACGGTCTCAATATGAATTCAGAGGCGAGTTTCTTTCTCAACATAATCCAAAACGATCAATTAGTTTTGATTATGCGAATTTGTCGTTGAGCATAGAAGTCGATTTTAAACAGTTTCTGTTGTGTATTTTTTTTTATGGTACGGTCGGAGTTTATAATGTCGCTGTTGGAGCGCCTCGGGCCATTTGGTAGTTGGGTTTCCTGTTTGCATATACTTCATATAACAATGTTCATGTTTTGTAATGGTTTCGCCATTTCTCCCATGCATACACGTTCTCCGTTTTCAATTCAAATTATTAATCCACCAAATGCTAAGTAACAAGCGGCGCTGCAGTCCAGACTCATGTACTCTCGATTCGCTAGCGTTGTTCGTATGCTTGTGCGCGCCCCGAACAGAGGGTGGATTTATTGTATACATCT